GTTTCGCCATAGAGCATCTCGTACATACATACTCCAAGAGACCACCAATCACATTCAGGACCATATTGTCCTTGACCATCCTCCATTGCCTAATGACAGTAACAAAACACAAGTAATACAAATATGATAAAGTATGTAATGTAACGCATATATTAAATAAAAGCGTAAACGTGTATCTCCGTCTTGCATTACCCTCAATATCTCTGGTGAAATGTAGTCTGGGGTACCAACAGCGACATTACTTTGCACCGTACCATCCTCAAACAGTCGTAAACAAGAGCCAAAATCGGCTAATCTGATATGACCATTCGCGTCAAGTAAAACGTTATCGGGTTTTATGTCACGATGTACATAGCGCAAGTCATGTATAGAACCTATAGCTAGCACCATCTCCGCTATGTAAAATCGAGCCATATCCTCGGGTAGACGATCCTCGAATTTGCTGAGTAACGTCAATAAATCTCCTCCACAATAGTAGTCCATGACCAGATACTGTGAAAACACGATGGAAAAAAAAAAAAAAAAAAAAAAAACAAGTCAAACAATTAAACCGTCACGATTGATCAAGACATGTAAGATTGTTTTCATCAAATATGCAACGCAAAGTGAGAGATTACCAAGTTATTGTCATCTTGAAAGGCATAATGCAGATTCGTGATCCATCTACGATCACCATATACCAATACGTCTCTCTCTTCTCTAAAGCACGCAGTTTCGGCACGTTTCAACATTTCCCATTTGTTCAAAATCTTCATAGCAAACACTTTGTCCGAGCCGCGCATTCTTACGACGCATACTTCCCCAAAAGCGCCTCTGCCAATGACTTTAACGATTTCAAAGTCCTCTCGTGTCAATTGCAAGTTCTTGATGCACGAAGTTATCGGTTTCACTGCAAAGAACCAACCCGATATAATCGACATAGACGAGATTTAAGAATCAAAGTTATCATTCCAAAATGAAATTCAAAAGAAACAATCCCTTACCAAATTCAATAAAATCAGAAACAGTCTTTTCACGGCGTAACGAAGAATTGCAGCATTCGTCGTATAATACGAGTAAAGCATCAATAAGTGTCTCAATCGAAACGGTATGACCTGTTCGTCCAGCTTGGGCAGAACCAGCGATAAACAGGCCTTCGAGTTGGCGTAATTTTCCTCCTATGCCTAAACAACATATTTCTAGAGTATAAATTAGCTAATAAAAAAAATGTTTATAAAAATAAAGACAAGCCCATATGCATGCATATGCAAGAGCATACAATACACCTATATTGGAAACTGTAGTAATCTTTTATAAAAATGAATCTATCTCAAGCTAGATGTGTAATATGTCGTGTTATTACCGTTGTTGGGAAGTCCTTTCGGCATAATGTCAGGAGGAAGATGGCCATAAAGATATCGCGACGAATCTGACATGTCGCTTTGTAGATAAGGCTGTTTTTTACCACAATCTACAGTTGACATTTCCATTGTTGTTATTCGTCTTTACCTCCTTATACCACATTGTTATGTTTCAATAAAATTCCTGTAATATACAAATTATTTCTTCATTAGATAACATATTAACAACTGCCCAATAATCTGTGGCACACAAATTTGAGGTATATACATACATACATACATACATACATACATACATACATACATACATACATACATACATACATACATATATACATACATACATACAACAGCCAGACAGACGAAACAACTTTTGTACAGAAAGTAACACTTTTACAAAAGATATACAAACATATTCCAACTGTAATAAGAGGTTGTCACATCCCTCTTCTCGAGATAAATGCAAACTAACTCATTCTTATCTTCATACTGTAGTCATGTATTTTATTTTTTATTATTTATTTTTTGACATAAATCAAAGATTATGGAGTAAAAAAGTTGAAGAGATAATTAAAAATAAAAAAACACATCATAAAGGTAAAAAAAAAGTACATTTAGAAAAAAAATGGGAAATAAAAATAGAATAGGAAAATGTAAAAAGTTAATTGCAAAGGTAAAAGTTGTAAATACTTGATTTCGCCAAAATCCTACAACTACATTCCATCGTTTGAAGAAAACTTGAAAACTTTATAATCCTACTTTAATAAAATAAATAATAAATTTGTGGAAGAAAGTAAAGTTTGAAAGAAAAAGAAATTTAATTTGTCGACATTTAAAAAAAGTACGAAACAAATGGATTTTTCTTTTCATTCTTAACATCAGTCAGTTGTCTCGCCAAAATCTACCGATACAAAAATGCACTGATACGCACGAAACACTCGCTTTCGGTCCAGTATACCTATGTATCTGGATCATTTTTGTTGAAAATTACGTAACTGCTACAAAGATAGATGAAATATATTCAACGAAAACGTGCAACAAGAGAAACACGCTTAAATAAAAAAGTGCGGAGATAAAAATAGTGAGCACCGAGATAGACATTGCATTCGTGAATGGAATCTAGAATGTGACAAAATTGCAAAGAGATGATATACGGCACGACACGATTGAAACGTGTGACACACACACACACACATACACACACACACACACACACACACACACGCACGCACGCGCGCGCGCGCGCGCGACACCACGTTGTCATCAAAAGACGACTCAAATGTTTAAGAACATAATAATCGTTATCGCAAACGGTCGCCTAAATTGTCCTAAATTTCAGGTTTATAACCTCGTCACGACACATCACACACATTGCCATTCGCTCCGATCAGCTCGTGAGACGTAAAGTTTCTCTATCGCGCAAGCAACTATTTCGAGTGTGAAAGATTTAGCTTTCCTTGGATTATTCCAAGCGATCATTACACCGGCCAAATGCAGTAGTACCTGCCGAAATGACGCGCCCTGTTTCCAACGTCTCTTCTTCAATCGTTTATCACGCGCACCATTTGGTTATCATAAACCATCTTGTACAGCCATCTCCGAACGAACACCAACAATTCGATTGACCCCCTAGCAGGCACTCGCAGAGAGAAAAAAATATGGCAGCTCTACGTCATTGAACGGAGCAATGATAATCGAATATCATAGATGGGTAATGCTATTCGATATTTCAACATGCGCAATCAATGAAGAGGTCGCGCGCGAGAAACGAGCTGAGTTCCGTCGAAGCATAGGGCGATAGTGCGCGAGGGCATTTTAGCGTTACAGCCAAAAGGCCGGCATGTCCGCTCTCGGATCCTCTCTGGTCTGAACACTCTGAACGTTAAACCACTGACTCAAGATACTCTTAAAGACCGACAGCCCTGGATAAATTTTCGTGTCAGCCAATAGGCCCAGTGGGCCCGGAGGTAATTACAGAGTCGATGTTATCGACTTTTGACATATAAATTTGCGATTTATTTGAATAATACATTACTAAGATCATGATTTTTATTATATAAATGCTTTATAAATAAATAAATATAAATACTTATAATGCTATAATATTATACAGGGTGTCCCATAATAACCGCACCAGACCTCATGGGCAGGTAGAGCAGATGAAACTGAACAGAAAAGTCCTGTACCATTTTGCAAAATTCGCAATCGTTAAAGAGATATTAATTTTTGAAGATCGGCGAATAAACGTATATCCGTCCGCCATACCACTGAATGCAGGCGCGCGCTTTGAGTATAGATACCTGGAGGTGAAATGCCTTTGTTCTCTGCAGGCCGCAAGCGAGTCCAAGAGTGGCAAGGAGTGCGAGAGAGAAAGGTATACTAGCGATACCACGTGATACTTGATCCTCTCTGTCTGTAGAATGATCGACGCATGCGCAGAGAGGACGAATATTACTCGTCTACCTTTCTCTCTCGCACACATCTTGGACACAGTTTTCTTCGAGCCAACATTCCCCCTCCATGTCTATATACTCAAAGGGCGCCCGGCGAGATACAACTGTCCCACCACTCGTCAACTATCGGCAGTAGCAACTACCAGCGGTGGGGCGGTCGTATCTCGCCGCGCGCTTGCATTCAGCGGTAGGCGGACGGATACGCGTTTATTCGCCGATCTTCAAAAATTAATATA